CTGGGGGGGGCGGAACCAAAGCAAAACAGAATATCTGGAAAGTTAAATACTCTCATTTCTCAAGCATGAGGTCTTGAAACACTTTGTTTAACTAACTCCCAGCATTAAGAAACAACAGTGAACACTGTGGCAGAAGCCTAAATTCAAGAAATGTCAAAGAAAAAGAAGAAACTGTGGTAGAAAAATTTGGATCGTCGCTGTCGTTATATGGCACTGTAGCTGCAACCTGGTAATGTGCAATAAAACTGAGACAAACAGTTTGCTTTGAAAAGCACTTAGGTTATGGAATAAAATCACATGCATCAAAATTATGGCATAGCCTTCTGTATTGCGTAATGTATTGCATAAGAGAAAATAGAGAATAGCTGTTTCACATTAATACTTTGTCACATGGGCGGGTCATGAATGCCAGCAGTGAATGAAATTTCACCGGAGAAAGCAAAACAGAAAAAAAGTTTCTGATTCAGTCAACGTCAATATCGCACTTCATTTAGAGTAATTTTTTAAACTATCATTGTTCCAAGCAAGATGACTGCAACTAAAAGAGGCTTGACAGAAGGAGGGTATTTTTACTATGTCAAGTGTCAGCCCTTTGGATTTAATCAAAAGATCATTTAAGTCTCTCTGCCTGTAATTTCTCAAGTATAGTCAGGCTCCTTATTTTTGTGGATTTTTCTTACAGCAATGGGCAAAAGTAATACTTTTAATTGGCTGAGGAACTCTGGCACCAAAACTATTTTAATTACTTGTTTCTAAATATAGAATACATATAGAATTTACTTTAAGGCTTTATTAAATCTTGCTGCAATACTGAAATTTTCCATTTAGCCTAAACACAGTTTTACAGATTAAAAGAAATAAAATTGAAGGGAAAGCAAGCCCACACTCTTTATTACATTTGTCTTTTTTTAGAATGACAAAATTAAAACAACACCCACATAAAATATAATTGCCAATATCATTCCACTTCATTTTTCAGAGCCAAAGAAGACAAAAATCCATCATTCCCACCACCTCCAGGTCAGCTGCTCAGCGTTTTTTTTTTTTTTTCCGCCCAGATAATTGCTATACCTATCTCTGCCCAGAAGAGGAACCAGTGAGAGGAGCTGGGTGTCAGGGTCCTCGCAATGAGCACGTTGGGTTTGGAGGACTAACCTTCTTGAATTTCAAGAGTACTAAGGAATGTGCTGGATCAGACACCGGGGAGGTGCTTTTTTACATAATTAACACAATTTTTTAGTAGAAGACTGCCTCAGTACCCCTGTGGCTATGCACTGCTGGGCTGCAGGTCTCTTTTGCAAAGCTTTTGCTTAATTAACTAAGGGAAAATATATTTAAGAACAATGGGTGCAAGGCACTTGAGTAAGAGAGGGGCTACACGCAAGGTCTCATTTAAACCACATGTGTAGACCACAGGGTGGTGGTTCTCCAGCTGCAGCCCATCTACCTTTTGCAGTAGATCACATGGTACGTGGTTGGGCACAGACCTGGGAGCTGCTTGCCAAGGACTACTGATGATGCAAGTGGAATTCACCTAACAGCTCTGTAGGCCCACACCACAAGGAATGATTTATTGCTGTATTATTTTAGGTATATGCACATGAAGTTACATCAGGCATCAAGCTGGAGCAAGGTTTGCTGTCTACTCCTACTTAGCCCATCCAAAGGGTCAGTAAAAATGCAGCAGAGGAAAGCAGATCTCTGCTTTAACGCAGCTGTGGAAGGCAACAACAGCAGTGAAGATGGAGTGGCACAGACCAGGGTAGGTAATTGGGGCCCTCGTTGCCAGCCCTTGCTGGAGCTCTGCTTCTATGTCCTACTACTCTTAATGGTACAAAGCTAGCTTGGATACACCTGCTGATACTACAGATGAGTCTTCACTCTGGTGTCTAGAGAGATGCTCAAATACCTGTAACCGAGTGTTGAGTGAAGCTGAACCCTGCTTGGTATTAGAGGAGATGTTGATGGTCAATTGCTGGTGCCATTGGTCCTGGCAGTGCAGCGGGGATGTGGCAGATTGAATTCTGAGTTAATCAGTTTTGATCCAGTCACTCTTCGCTGCTAATCAAATTACTCCGTTCAGCACAGCTTTGTTTTGGAGAGTGTCTACTCTCCTGCCATTGCAGTTCAAGCGGCAACACTAACAAATATACTAAGTTAACTTTTTCAGTGAAAGCAAGCTCTGGAAGGCTTAAGCCATGCAGAAGTCTTTTCAGTAAAGTTGTACAACAAAGTATATTTTGTCCTCTTTGTGAAGACTGTTATCACTATTTTGTTTGTCAGCACAGCTTTGTTTTGGAGAGTGTCTACTCTCCTGCCATTGCAGTTCAAGCGGCAACACTAACAAATATACTAAGTTAACTTTTTCAGTGAAAGCAAGCTCTGGAAGGCTTAAGCCATGCAGAAGTCTTTTCAGTAAAGTTGTACAACAAAGTATATTTTGTCCTCTTTGTGAAGACTGTTATCACGATTTTGTTTGTTACAAAGAGAAGTAGTACAGAAGGATGTACAGAAAACAGCGGTATTCAGATTACTATACAATATCACATTTTATATGTGAGGAATACAAGTAGGTGAGAATTGCTCGGGTTGGTATTTTGTGGATGGGGGCTGTGGAAGGTCTGCAAGGGTGTGCAGAAGGAGTTAAGGCCTCACATCAGCAAAACACAACTTCCTCTAAACTGCTGGTTTAAAAGTAACTTCTAAAAAAGTATTTGAAATGCCAGTGAGTTTGCTGGGAACCCATTATTTACACAGGGAAATTTCCTAATTTTTTTCTTCCCCCTCAACATAATTTTTGATTTGCAGTTGCCTGGAAGGCATGGTACCAAATCATTCGCTCCTCCTTCAGTACATTCCCACTGACTTAAAAAGACTGCTCTCGTAAGAAGGAAAGTGCTTGGTTTTGGTTTATTAATACAAAAGAGGAACATGATAGAAATAAACTAGATGACTCGTGTGTGCCAATGGTTTGTTAACCTGAAAGTTCCCGATTTGTGTCAGCGTTCGCATG